AAAAATCTTTGAATAAAGTATGTTTGAATTCTTTGTTTATTCCTTGGCATAATAATCACAAATAGGTCATTACCAAATCTCCATAAAATACATTAATTGAGCAAATTTTCTTAACATAGAGTCTTATCAGTACTATGCATATTCAACTAGCTTACATTCTGCATGCATATGAGAACGTGCTTGTACAAATCTTGTTAAGTCATGTACAAGTACAATATCTATATGCAGTTGCCTACTTATCAATATGTTTGTTTCTTTATATACATTGTAAGAAAAGCATTCATGTAGCACATAATTTTTATATACATCTCTTTGGAAATGGTTTGAATCATTACAACCAAGTTACTTAATAATTAAAAATCTTTAAAGTGCCATAGAATTCAAAAGAAATCAGAGTACAAATGAGAAATTTTAGAGATCTTTAAATTTATTAATTATTAATGTTATAGTATTTCTTCCACTCCACGCCTGTCTTGAAACAGAGGAATAATCTTCTTTTTCATTTTCAAATGTCAAATTGCCTCTTATAAACTAGGAAAACAAGGTGAAATTCCTGCATTGCAGAATTTTGTTATCAAAACTGAGTTGTTCAGTTTCATAATAATTTGTCACAGTTAGTCCATGAAGTGAAATAATGTCGTCTGTGTACAGTAAGAAGGATCCTGAAGTTTAAAGCTTCACCACCATCACTTTACTCTGAATCTCCACAGACAGTAGCATACAACTCATGCTCCAAGGCATAAATTTGTTTTGATGGCTGAAGCAAACTATAGTAATTGAATTGGATGGTACTATTGTCCTTTCCATCAGCATTTCTGTCAGCACTATACAAGACAAACAATGCTACCCATAGTATTGTAAGGAGTTTGCATTACCAGTCAACAGGACTACTGAAAGTATGAGTTTAAACAGGATCAGAGCCCAATAATGTTAAAATGTATTTATTTTGTTGGTTTAACATAACTTAAGAAGTATAAAGAATAGCTTTCTAGAGCCATAAATTATATTAACTATTTCTGGAAACTTTGGATTTTACATTAATAGGAAAAAGACAGAGAATATAACCTAAAAATCACCAGACTACTCACAAAACATCCTGGAAATTTACCAGCTCACAGAACTTTGTCTTCCATAGTAAATTTACCATGGTAATGTAGCATGTGCACACACACATTCAAAATACTCAACCTCTTGGCTCCAAGAAAGGAGATTGATAGTTGCAGAAAAACCCATTCCCTACCCTCCTTCCATTTAACAAAAATAAGTTAGATTTATGCCTCAACCACACCCCAAAATATTTATTTGGTCTCCTTAAAACATTCTGGCTAATGACAGAAAAGCCCGAGGCAGAATCAATTCAACCTTTGCGGGTTTCTGTAACCAGTGAACATTGGATCATGAGCAAATGTAACACATGTTCGCCCTTGTCAAGGGAATGAAGCAAATGCCTGCACTGGCCAGGCCAGAAGGCACGGGGTGCTTCTGCATACCTCCCAGCCTGGCAGCCATGCCCAGCCAAGCCAGGCCATCTCTAATTGGCTGTCAAGCACATGCCCCCAACTCCTGCTTTCACTGCAGACCTTCCCCTACACTAAGTCCTAGCTTTCCAGAGCTGGTAGCTATGGTGACCCCAGAGGGGGCAGGAGTAGGGAACAAAACCCCCATGGTCCTAGCCATGGTCCCGTCCCCCCCCCCCAACTGATGTCTGTACAACATGGGGGAGTTTGCCAGGTGGCAGGGGATTTTACCCTGCAGCCCAGCATTCCTCCCACCACAGCCCAGTTGGTCAATAACCCCAGCCGCACCCCGGCGCTGACCTGGCCTCTCAGTTGTAGGCAGTAAGCTGAGAGGCCAGGTCCAGCATGGGGCAGGGCTGGAGTGATTGCCCCACTGAGCTGCAGAGGGAAGTATGCTGGGCAGGGGGTGCGGAGGCGGGAAGTCCCCACCACCTGGTAGCCTCCCCCCAACACTGTGCAGACCCCAAATAGGGGGACCATAGCCAGGGTAGGGCCCCCCCCACATCCAACCCCATGCAGCTAAGAGGCTGGATCTGGCATGTGGCTGGGTGGAGGAAGGAAAGCAGGGCTGCGGGGAGAAAAGCCCCTGCCACAAGGTCCCCCCTGTGCTTTGTAGGGCCCACCTAGGGTGGGGAGCTGTGACAACCTGGGGCCAGGACCAGCCACACTCAGCTGGAGCAGATGGGGACAGAGGCTAGCCTACCAACCCTGAAGGGGGGGTTGGCAGAGAAGGCGCAAAGCATTCTGGGATGCTGGGGGTCTGTGATTTAACTTGAGTTAGGAGGGGATTATGGACAGCAGTTCCACAGACCGGTTTAACTTAAAACATTAAAGTCTGATACTACATCCATCCAGACCTATCTTAAACTGGTTTCAGCCATTTTGAAACCAGTCTCTGTGTACTGAACTTCTGCTCTGTTACAGATTTAAACCATTTTCTTATCACTTATATCAGTTTGTGTAATTTCTATCCCTAGTCTTTAAAGCCATAACTCCCACAGCTGGATGGAACAGTTAACTGTGGTGATTCAGTATCCACATCAAAATCAGTTCAACTCTCTGATGAAAAATGCCTATAAAGATGTTATTTATCCCTTTAAATGGATGCATGCATGGACAGACAGACAGATATATTTACTATTATAAACAGATTTTGTTGTTCTTCATCACCAATATGGGCTAAATTTGACCTACTTGAACTGAAGGCCTAGATGAGAAAGCCTCTTTGGGCTATTATAATTTTCTGAGCTATCAAGATTTGTTTTCACTTTATTTCTTTTTCCCCTCAGATAAAAAATAATGCAGAAAAATGGCTGCTACTACTTTCAATACTACTACAGCAAGAAAACAACAAGAAAATTAACCACATTTTTGAAGCACAGAGATGTTATAGAAAAATGGAGGAAAATAAAAATTGCTAAAAGTGTTTTGCATTATACAACCAAAAGTGGTATTAAATGTCAAAAATATGCAGAGCATTACCAGTTTTACACCTTACTCACTTTTTGGGCTATGACGCTGAATAGAGGAGTTTGGTTGGGATGGCATCAGAGGAATCGCCTCCACTTGGGTAAGCTAGATGCTTTCCCCTTATACAAACAGTTGCCACCCTAGGCAGTAGCCAAAGGCCTCTGCCTACTCTAAGTCCAAAATGCATTTACTTTACCTGATTTAGGCTGTTTAAGTTTTGATAGTTTATATAACCTTTGGCTTAGTTTTTCCTTTACATTATTTTCTTTTATTCTATTTTATTCCCTATTTTATTGTATAATAGCTGGTGTTTTTGTCAATATCTGTTTTTCAGCTTGGTGCTAAAGATCCAGTGCATCTTAAAGAAGGCATTCTTAGATCTCAATAATTGGTTTATAACGGAGAGCTCTTGCCATTGGAAATATGATCTTTAGCCCACCCACAATGGAGGCATCTTTTGTTTCTACATGTCTGCTGTCAATAAATAGCAATTTACCAACACAGCAGAAAGTTACAAAACTAATTGTTAAAAGAGGCCTTAAAATAACTCTTCAACCCAGTAATACCCCCACCAATAGACCAATGACACAATTTAGACCAACTGAGATGCTGGAAGGAAAAAAAAAAAAAAATCAGTAATGAGGAACAGACCCTGGAATCTGCCTTGGGCCCACTATTGTTTAATATTATGGACAATAGGATTGAGTGACCCTTAGAAAAATCTGTGGACAACACCAAGTTGGGTGGAGTTATAGATACTTTGGAGGGTGTGGTTAGGATCCAGAATGACCTGGATAGACTGAAGAAATGGTCCACAGTCAATAAAATGAGATTCAACAAGGACAAGTGTAACATCCTGCCCTTGGGACAGAATAATTGCATAAACAAATACAGACTGGGGAATGAGTGGCTATGGTGCAGTACTACAGGGAAGGACCTAGGGGTTACAGTGGACCACAAGCTGAAAATGAGCCAACAGCTTGCTCTTGTTGAAAAAAAATCCAACATTTTACTGGGCTGGATTAATAGGAGCATCACTTGCAAATCAAGGGAACTGATTTCCACTCTGTTCTGCACAGATGCTTCACCTGGAATACTGAGTCTAGTTTTGGGCCAAACACTTCAAGAAAGATGTTGACAAATTGGAAAGAGTCCAATGCAGGACAACAAAAATGAGAAGGACCTTAGAGGCAAATGATGAAAGGCTGAAAGAGCTGGTGTTATTTAGTCTGGAGAAGAGAAGACAGAGGGGATTTGATACCAGTCTTCAAATAACTAAAGAGCTATTAGAGAGGATGGAGATGGGTTTTTCTCTGTGGCTGTAGGGGACAAGACTAGGAGCAATCCCCTCAAGCACTAGCAGTGGAAATTTAGGCTGGAAATTAGGAGGAACTTTCTGACTATGAGGGTAGTCAAACACTGGAACAAGCCACCTAGAAAAGCTATAAAATTTCCAAGGATGGAGAGTCTCAAAAGCAGGTTAGACATAACATAACTGGCATGATTTAATCAGGGATGGTCCTGCCTTGAACAGTAGGCTAAACTATATGACCTTATGGAGGTCCTTCTAGCCCTACTTTACAATGATTCCTATAGATCCTAAAACCTACTTTTCACATCACCAACTATAGGCACTGTGGGTAAAGTAAATTTTAATGTAGATTTATCGAACCCTCGCCTATCCCTTACTTGAATCCAACCTGAGTGAGAGTTTTAACTCACTGCCTGGCTCTGTTTTCCCAGAAAATAAAACCTGGACACATGAATCAGCCCTGAAATGGGAAAATGAAGGCCGCAGACTACCAAGCCCCTCAAGTATCTCTTGTGTCTTTTGTAGTTGCTATGATTAAAACAAAGAAAGAAAGAAATATTCTACTTTTAATCAAATTAATAGAAATCAAAAATTCATCTTTGATTTAAAATCACATGAAAAAGCACACAATATTTTATTTAAGGCAATTAAAAGAAAACTGATATACAAGGAAAGTTCAAAGAACAGACCTAATAACAACAAAACCTTGAAGAGTGAGGATTTCATTACAATCAATCAAGTGACAGGTTCAGAATCTGACTGACCAAACTTCTTCTACTATTTTTATTAGTCATAGCTCTATTAGAGAGAGAAAATGAAGACTAAGAAGGCAAAACATTCAATATTTATCCATATAAAAGAGTTCAGAACTGTTTATATGAAACTCAGAATTGCATGACTTTTAGCCAAAAGATTTAAAATCTCTCCCCAGCTATTGAAAACTATTATTATTTATGTACACAAAATTAAATCCTTCAGAGGTTCAACTAAGCCTTCTACAAAGAGAGAAGGCTTAGTTCTCTCCTTCTAAGGAGAAGCAAATTACTACATCCCTAGGTGAGATTGGTCTTTTGGTATAGAACACGGCTGACTTGTCAAATAAATTATCTGACTTGTGGAGAATTTTTATTAATGATTTTGATATTGTGATTTTATAAAAGATAAAGTATGGGAAGATGGTGTACATTCCTGGATTTATTTCATTTTATAAAAATGTCTTGAAGGATAAAACTAAAAGATTGTTGCAGGGAGGCTAGGTTATACTGATGGTAATAAGGAGGCTGATTGAGGGATTAGATATTGAAAGAGACTCAAACTATCTACTAGCAGTCCTCATTAAATTTTATGGCAGACCTCCCTTGATTCTTATTAATGTTTATTTCATTTCCCACATTCACATCAAGATCCAGTGCAATCTTGAAACAGGAATTATTACATAATGCTCTTGAGATGATCCAAAATAAATTCCCAGAATTAGAAATAATAATAGCAGGTGATTTTAATACTAGAATTGGTGGCACTGACACCCATGATAATGAAGATGTCCTAAATAAAATATGGGGAATCTGTCCAGGAATCTTATGTAATAAGAAATTAAAAGAAGGAGGATGATCCTCATGAAATGTATTGCAGATGAGAATTTTAGAGCCCTTCATAGATAAAACTGGTGTCTGGGGCCTTCATATCCGTTACAACTGAAGGAGCAAGTGGACTGTTTATTAACAACTAATATACATGGAGTAAGTATTTGAAATTTTACCATGTATGGAAAGTGACTGTTTCTTTTTCTCTCTAGATTTCCATTATGGGAGATCCTTCTTCTAAAACCATACAACTAGCCCCAAAATTAGAAGTAATCAATAAGAAGACAACGCAATGGGATAATGAATTATGAAATGAAATTAAATTAAATGAATAATGAAAAATGTGTTGCTCTGTTCAAAGACATTTTCTTGGGCCACTTATTCATATTCCCAAAGTACAAGAACCCAAAAAATGACTCAGATACAAAGAATGTGTCCAACAGTTGGACAACGCCCTCACAAAAGACAGAGTCTTTGCTGGGAATAGGTGGTTTCAGTGGTAAAAACCATGGTTTGATAAGGACTGTCCTAAAGCTAAAGATGATTTAATAGAACCTGTGAAGGAATGCAAGTTTAAAAATGATTGTGGTAATTTCCAACATATCAAGAATATTAATAAAGACCATGCAAAATGAATTGAAGGCAATAAGAAACAATATTAAATGAGAGGAGCTTCTAGCCACAGGAAAAAATAACGACAAAAGAATCTGCTTAATTTCCAAAGTGTATATTCCTGAAGATGCATGGGTCTTGTTTTTTAAAAAAATAAGTTTAACGTCTTACTTGCAGATGGTGAAGGAATTGATGGCTTCTTGCTGAAGGAAATTTTATCTGTTACGCCGCATGGAGATCACTACCTCATTTCTGAATCTCAAGATCATATATATCCTTACTGAGAAATGGAAAGGCCACTGGTCTTGATTTTCTTCCCCCAGAAATCTTCAAGGACCTTATTAACAGGTGTTAATATAATTTTCATATAATTATTTAGAAGACAAGATAGCCAAACCATTGGAATGAAAACAGCAGCCCCAATTTTAAAAAATTAAAATTAAAAAATGGGGATAAGAGAGATCCTGCATCATATTGTCCTATTCGTAGTCCAGCCGAAATATTTGGGAGCTGTTTGCTTTTTCCACCTTCAGACATGGACTTCTGAAAATAATATTTTGGGAGAAAAACAAGCTGGTTTCAGAGAAAGGTATTCTTGCATGGACCATTGCTTAATGTTGTACCATTTAGCATACAAATGGATAAAAACACAAAATCACTAATATGTAGCCTTCATAGATCTAAAGGGAACTTTTGAATCCATAGATACATTAAAATTGTGGAAGGAACTGGCAATAACATTAATAGATAAAGCTCTCTTACAATTAAGCATGACTTACTATTCAAATACAGCATCTAGGGCATGTTATCAGATCAGTGGTGCCCTGTCAATAGTTTCCAAACTAAGAAAGGGGTACCACAAAGATGTTTGCTTGCTCTGCTACTTTTTAATTTATTCTTAAATGATCTAAAACAGGTGCTAACAGGGAATCAATTCCATGAACCCATGATATTGAATGACCCTACTACCTTTGTCTTGCTCTATGCAAATGATGCATCATCAATGTCATAATCCTGACTAGACTTCCAAAGGTTATTAGATGCTTTTCAGCAGTACTGTACCTCAAATAGCTATGAAATCAATACAGGTGTTGGTTTTGAGGAACAAAAGGAGAACATGAATTTGGTTTTTACAGGAAAAGAAACTAGAGATGGTATCTTCTTTTAAATGCCTTGGAATCTATTTTAACAAAACTCTGGTCTGGAATTAGTGTAAAAACTAGAGCAAAACAAATCTTAGGTAGAATCTGATACCTTTATAAGACGGGCAAAAAAGTAGTTCTGGCAGCGCTAGCTGTCTATACAGGTTTCCCTCGATTTATGCAGTACATGCATTCCCGGAGAATGACACAAATTGAATTCACATAAAGCAAACCCACTTTACAATGTAAGAAATAGAGATAGGTTCCCCTGGTGGTGAGGGTGGGAGGGAGGCT